AGCCGATACTATCGGCTAATAAATCGGTGGCAAAGCGATTGCTGGAACACTATTAAAAAAAGGCGTTTTGCGGTGTTCACTGTACCTCCGATAAAAACGATCGGAATTCCATTTTGTTTTTACATTTCGTTTAAGAATTAAAAAATACCCGCCCCCTATGAAGCCCTTATATAAAAAAAATTTTTTTTTTATAGTCAAAAGTTAAAAATGCGTTTTTTTCGTTTTTTTAAGATACGTTGCGCAAGGTACTTCATAGTACTTATGATCATGCAAGGCCGACATCTAATCTGGATGTTGAGAGTCTCTTCAATAACATGCGTCCAATGGCAACCTGCTAGTGGCTTGTCTACTGTAAATCCAAACAGCCATCATTCATGGCCTGAAAATATACTTTCAAAATATATCCGGCATCAGAACTAAAACGTAATCTGTCTTTATGAATACTTCTAACAGTGATTATGACATATTCATACTGATTGAAACTTGGTTAAATTCTAACTTTAGTTCGAATGAATTCTTCGATCTTAAAATATTTCAAGTATTTCGTAAAGATAGAGACTTCGGCAGAATGCAGTGCGAGAGAGGAGGTGGCGTTATAGTGGCTGTTAGCCTTAAATTCTGTTGTATGGCAATTCGACTTCTTAATGATGACTCGCTTCTGGACCAGTTGGCGGTTACGGTGTCTGGCTTATCCGGGAAGATATCGATTGTGGCTTCCTATATTCCTCCGGGCAGTGATTCTGGACTTCACCAGGCTCACTTAGACAACATTTCAAACATCCATGCCAGCTTGGAGGACTCTGATGGCGTATGTGTGGCAAGACACTTCAACCTCAGTTCTGTTGTCCGGGCGTGTGATCCACAAGCAGCTGCTTTGGTGCCCGGAAACGTGTATCATTCGCATGAAATGATTGTCATTGATAACTGTTTTAATATGGGCCTCACCCAAATTAATAATGTTTTCAATAATTTGCATAAGCTTCTTAATTTAATCTTCATTAATTCCATTGTTCATTCTAACGTAACTCTTGGTGCATTTACCATTTCGAATTGTGTTGTGCATCACAAACCCTTGTGCTTTAACATTGAATTTTATAGCTTTCTGCCATTTATTGATTCTAATCCTAGATACATATTTGATCCCTCTGGTTTGAGTTCCCTAAGGGATTGCCTGCTATCCCTGAATTGGTGTGCCTTACTATCGAACCCTTGCATTGAAACTAATTATAAAACCTCTCTTTCAACTATTAGAAATACACTTGACAGCATAGTCCGTTCCAGGGTACGGGTTCCTACAGGCTTCCTTGGTATACAAAAGGACTCCAAAAATACAAAAACCTTAGGAACAAATATTACAAGAAATTTTCTAAAACATATCACCCAGCAGATGGGCAGCATAAACATGAGTTTGAGTTTCTCAATAAATTTTTTTATAACCACTACATTTGTGAAGTTGAGCATGGCTTGAAGGACAACCCTAAGGCGTTTTGGCGCTTTGTTAATTCTAAGAAATCTTATTCGTCTTTACCTGCAACTATGTCTTATGGTGATATTGTTGCTTCCAATGAGGCCGATATCGCCAATTTGTTTGCTGCGTGTTTTCCCTCGAACATTGAACCTTCCAATGATTTGTATGATCAAGAAACTTTAAATTCAATTCCAGAAATTTGCAACATTGGAAATCTGGACATATCGTATGATGACATTTCTGAAGAAATCAGTTATTTTGATGATTCCCCAAGGCTAGACTTTGATGGAATTTCTTCATTCTTCCTTAAGAATTGCATTGGCAGTCTGTACCTACCTCTGCAGGTCTTGTTTTCCTCTTCTTTGTCTCAAAGTAGATTCCCCTTCGAGAGTTATGCCGGTCCATAAAGGAGGAAGTAAATTTGATATTTCGAATTATGTCCCGATTGCTAAAATCGGCAAAATTGCTAAATTGTTCGAGATAAAAATTTTTAAAAAATTATCGTTTTTAATAGAACCTAACCAACATGGCTTTATGCCTGGTCGATCTACGACGACCAACTTGTCAATTTTTTCGAGTCACTGTCACTGGATCACTCACAGATGGACACGATTTACACAGATTTTGCCAAAGCTTTTGACAAGGTGTCTCACTCTGCCCCTAAGGCTAAACTTTCTAAACTAGGGTGTATTTGGATAACCGACGCTATCATGTTGAAATAGGTGGTGCATTATCCCATCCCTATAAAGCGACATCAGGACTTCCTCAGGGTAGCTCTCTTGGCCCTTTACTTTTTATTATTTTTATAAAGGACAGTTGTGCATGTATCAAATTTTCTAACTTCCTTCTTTATGCGGAGGATCTTAAAATTTATAGGACTGTCAGTACCGTAAATGATTCGAAATTGCTTCAATCAGACCTAGATAGTATCGGTAGTTGGTGTTCCAAGAATAGTTTGCCTTTAAAACTTCGTTATGCGAAACGTCCTGTAACCATCCCATCCACTTATCTCATCAATAACCACCCTCTCTCTGTTTTGAATGAAATAGTTGATCTGGGGCTATTACTTGATGACAAATTTCTATTTAATGAACATCTGAATTTTTTATTACCAAAAGCATATGGAATGTTCGGCTTTGTTAAGCGAAACACGGTCTTATTCAAAGATCCGTATTCCAGATTATCTGTATACTCTGCGTTTGTCCGTTCCAGGGTCGAATATGCATCCTTTATTTGGAATACCTCAGGAAGTGTCCAGATCAATAGGATTGAGAGGTTGCAGAAAAAGTTTTTAAAGTTTGCATTGCAATCCTTGCATATTACTTATCCGGCTCCGCCCTATGTTAGCCAGTGTTCCCTGCTTCACACTTGTTCCTTGAAGGATCGCCGTGCAATTGCAGACCTTCTTTTCCTTCTTAGGTAATATTGATTGTCCTTGATGCTCCTTCCAGGAATCTTCGTACCTTGTTACCATTTCTGGAACGTGCTGTCAGGACAAATTATGCTCTCAATGAGCCATTACTAAGGGCTCTTAGAATGTTTAATTCCTTGCCTACAAGCATTAGATTCAGCTGGGGGCCACTAAACCCTTAGGGAATATTTTTAAATTAATTTTCATTAATAGATTTAAGTTAATCAATTGTAGTAAGATGTAGCCAGATAAGGGTTTAACCATTGGCGATAGATAAATAAATAAATATTCTAGTTTTTTACACAAAATCAAGGATAACAATTAAAGTTAAATTGGTCACCATACCCTACAAAAGGTTCGTCACGATACCCTACAAGGTACATCTGGAGCAAAAACGGTGTCACTCTCAAACGTCGCAAACAAAAAAATGTCAAGTACCAAAAACTGTTGATAAAGATCTCATGTATACGTGCATATATTTGCCTGATTATATTTTCCACTCATCTTTGCTCTGGCACTGCTGAAACACAAGTAAATTGAATGGGTTTGCTAGTTTGCGCACCACATTTTTAGCGAAAATTACCTCACGAACAAATTACGGGACTTCTTATTAATATTACTGTAAATACATTGTCGACACGATAAGGGGAGACGACTACATTTATTTGGAATTTTTGTCGTGACGTCATATATGAGATTCGACGAGTTCGTCACATTACCCTACTTGTCAAATTACCCTACACTCCCCTACTTAATTGCCTTTAACAATACCTCATCAAAACATAAGCGCTATAGGGCTCCGCTGATTTAAGGCAGACTTTTGGCTTTTTCGCCCCACTGTGCGGTGAAGGGAAAATGTAAATTCCCTTGGAAAACCACATAGAAACCACATTTACCTCTCACTTTTTGTGTCACTCCCTTGTATTTTAAAACCAGAGACGGAAGAAATGTAAGGGGTGAATGAGGTTTTGTCCTTTCCGCTTGTATGGTTTCTTGTGAAACCATTAATAACTGTGTAGTTATTAATTGAAAACTCAGACACGTTGTTTCCAAGTCGGCGTTTAATTTCAAGTTGTGCTTTTTTCATGTCTTTTTCCTTGAGATGATACAATGAGCTTAATGACTATCGATGACATCGATACCAAATAATTCAATTAATACTAAATGTCGTGATTAAATCCTAAGGTAGGTTTATAGCGCCAACAATTAGGTTATTTTATCCTAATTTAATCATTACATACTTATGTACATGGCCATTTGTCGATGTGTGTGTGTGTCATTGCGTATCTTACATGAAAATGTAAAATGAAAACAGCATATCATTACATATTATGGATATGGTCCCTTAATGGTTCTTCCTCTTCCAAAGAATTCGCGGTCTCATTTTGGTCAAGATTTCGTGTCGGGTTCCACGGGTTCGTGTCGGGTTCCACGACGGTAAAAAATTTGAAAAAACCCTCTTGTTCTAAAGCAGCGGTCGGCACACACATACGTTGACATTTTGTTTTATATTTGTGTGAGTAATTTGCACTGGACAGCTCATCGATGTGTGTGTGCAGACCGCTGGTCTACGTTATACATGTGCGAGCAGCGCGCCGGCAGAACAAAACCCTATGCTCACTTAATAGGGCGCTGCCGACCGCTGTTCTAAAGAATTCGCGATCTCATATTGGTCTTACAATTGTGATATCTTGGTCTATATTGGTTCCTCTTGTTCTGTCAAGAATTTTGGTTAATTTTGTTTAATAAAAAAACACGAGTAAGATATGCCGATGCCTACGATTCTACGATGCCACGATGCCAGATTTTAAAGTTGGAATCGGCAACGCCGAGTAGTAATCGAGTATATTTTTACGTACGCGTGCATTTATACTTATCCGTAATATTCAAAAATGTGGGCGCTAGACACATTTTTAAATCGTTTGTGGGCGTTAGAGGGGGCGTGGCGCTTGGCTAAAATAAAAAAACAGATAGACAGACAGAGAGATCAGAGAGGGAGGTGCTAACAAAATATTATTTTTACCGAGACACCTTATTACATCCAAGACTTCTTTATTTATTTTTAAGTATAACTATAAAAAATGTTTTTTACAATTTTTCTTAACTTGTTACGTATTTCAGTTAAATTATTATAGAACGGATAAAATGGGTAATTGCTTGAAAATGAGCAGATCAGATGACATTTCACTTTTACGAGGCAATGACAGTATTAACGGCCAAAACAGCGGAACACTGCCATTGTATCATGTAAGTATATTTGTGTGAGTCGTGCAATAACCCGCTTTTTATGATCCCTTCATTGTGAATTCTAATCCGCCAAAAAAAAAAGTAATTGTTTAAAGTACCAGATTATTTCAAATCTCAAAATAAATTTTATGCACATTTTCATTTCAGCAGGACGAACAGTATCAACCAGTATTTTATCCCGCCACATCAGCTTCCGCTGCTCAAACACCATCTTCTATTAATCGTCAATTGTCCGACGAAAATCAAGTGAAGATTGCTAAGCGTATTGGATTAATGCAACATTTGCCTATAGGAACATATGACGGAAGCTCTAAAAAAGCACGAGAATGTGTAATTTGCATGGCAGAGTTTTGTGTTGATGAAGCTGTGCGATATCTTCCTTGCATGCATATTTATCATGTCAATTGTATAGACGATTGGTTGTTGAGAAGCCTTACATGTCCCAGTTGCTTAGAGCCGGTTGACGCTGCCTTATTGACGAGTTATGAATCGACATAGCGTTTATAAAACAATAGTATATTTATAGTGTTCGCTTTAAAATTTTTCGGGAAAAAATAAAATAACTTGTACCAGGCAAAAGTTATTATTTGATACATTTAAATTTAATTCATTGTTTTTTATTAAAGTGTTATTGTTTTTAATCAAAACGTATTATAATATTTAATTTATTGTAGTGTTAAAAAAATTATACTTGCAGCATTGGAGAGCTCAAAAATAGAATAGCTATTCGGGAAGAATTTGTATGGTTTTTGAAATGGAATTTCGCCCAAAAAAATTTGTGCGGAACCTCCGAAGATAATTTCGTGTACATATATCAATATTTAATTTTCTAACCAATAATAATTTGATCATTGTTACCATAAGTCATTGTATTAACGATTTGATAATAAAATTATAGTTTTATTTAACCATGAAACACAAATTTGCCGAGGCGACCTACGAAATGGTTTCAGTTTCAGCACTGGAACCAATCATTACGCAGTCGACGGCAACGCTGGAGCGTCTTGCAACATAGGCAGATCCGACGCTCTCAATAACCCTTTCTCTCGATTATTCTCTTTTCAAATTAGGATGATTAAAGAGGAGTGATTATGTGATTAAAATTGTTTATGAATATGTGATTCACTTCTTCCCAAGTTCATCGAATTTTCATCACTAGGCCATAATTACAGACACCGGCATAACCAAAAATCGCAGAGAGAACGCAAAAAGATGAGCTTCGCCTGGGCAATAGGGAAGGTCAGAAACAAATTAGGCAACAAGAGAAATTAGGCAGGCCGAACGTATTTCATTACACCCTTGCAGAGGGTATAATTATGTGGAGACGTTTATAGTATATATATTCTAGCCATGTCCGTCTGTCTGTTTCTTAGCAAACTAGTCTCAGATTTTGAGCTATCAGGATGAAACTTAACCCAAAATTCTTCTTTTTATTGCAGGTAGTATGTAAGTCAGAACCGACGGACCGGACAACTATATCTTATAACTCCCAAAGGAAGGATCGGAAAAGAAACGTTAAAAAATTCTAGCTTCGGTGTTTTTTTGAAATATTACCTTCTACTCTTGGGAATATTTATTTTTTAATATTTCCAAATTTCGAATTAATTATTTACAAAATCGGATTACTATATCATATAGCTGCCATAGGAACGGTCGAAAAATTAAATGGAAATTAAAAGGAAAAAAATTATATCTTGGTTGATTTTTATTACATTCATTAACATTTCAAAACTTCGAACATAACTCGGAAGTCTATATTTTTTAGCTGCCATAGGAAGGATCAAAACATTAATGTCAAAATAATACGTGTTTACGCCAAAAGGGCGTTTAATTTCGGCAGGCAGTGTCGAGCGGCAGTTTTCTCCAGATCTCCACATCTCGCTCGCTCGCACTGCCCTTCGCTCTTCCTCTCCAACTCTGCCCCAAGTCTCCGCTCCACTCTGGAGCCACTACGCTTAGATAATTGTAATTAGTTCATATTTCCAAGTGCACAAATAAACAGCCGCACGTCGCGCAAAACCCCGAAAGTTTTTCCCGTGTTTTTCAATACCTAATTTCTACGCGGATCGCACCCGCATTTCCCTGGAACGCAACAATTTCTACAATCAAGCCGCCCCGCCCCAGCATTTGGTCCTTCGAGCCGGATATTTCCGACCAGCGTTCAGCAGCAGCTACTGTGGCTTGACCCGCTCCAGATAAGTGCTTTACAATTCCTATTATTTGCCGGTCATACAGCCAGTTGTTCGAACCCCATTTCGTTCAACTTGTTGTATGATTTCTTGTCCAAATCCAAAAGAGATTTAATCCGACACAACGGCATTTAATATATATATTCCAATATATCGCAATTCCTCTGTGCCCAACTTCCGTACACTCCAAATAATTTCGTTGCTATCCAAAAGTTTGCAAATTCGCAGTGATAATTTATTAAAGTAACAAATAAATATATATGCCTAAAAACACGAAGTGTTTGTAAAATATATAATCCAGCCACAGTGAACATTTTCAATTAAAAGTGATCCGCCGAAATTGGCAGCTTTGTGCTTACTGTGTTCCTGCTGCGTGCATATATTTTTTACATAAATATCAAAATACAGTCCACTCCATCCACATACATTTTAGAGCTAATTGTTTCAATAAGTTCCCGCAAATATATTTTGCATTTCGAAGCTATTCCGCTATTCGTAATCGAAGTCTCCACAATTCCCGCAATCAGTGCCCTCACTTTATCCAGCTGTACATACATACAGACGTACATACCGAACGTACTTCTACATATTCAGCAGCGCACCGTGGTTCAGGGATATCCAGAAAATTAAAATATATTATTTTTTTTTCAAATATATTTCAACAAAAATTCGAACTAACTAATAAAGTTAGAAAATTCCATTAAAGCTCCAAAATACACTCCAGTGTGACCGTATATCTTACGGATTTTCTTTCGGTTCCTAAATTCCAAATTGTCTATAAATTTCAATTCTCTGTTCGAAATGGCATCCTTAGCTAAATCCGCTCTTAATAAATTTATTGCTACAGCTGACACTCTCAGCCATTTTGAAGCCACATTAAATGTTCCCGGTGCATCCACACCAACCTTATCCGCCTACAAAATCCGTAGGGAGCACGTCAGCTCCTTATGGCAAAAGGTAAAGGAGGCATACGGCACATGCTCCGAATGCATTGTGGCTGCAGGCGAGAGCGCCGCACACGCCAAATCCATTCTTAAAGCGAAATACAACGAAACGTACGATGTATACGAAAAGTTCGCCGCTCAGATTCTCGAGCAAATCGAAATCCAACAGGGCTCCTCCCAAGTATCTCAAGCTCCAGTAACTCCATCCCAAAGTTCAAGATCTTATGGCTGTCGACTCCCTCCTATCGACACAGAGGTTTTCTCGGGCGATTATCTTCGCTGGCCGACTTTCCGGGACCTTTTCAAGGCGATATATATAGACAATCCTAGTCTCACTTCCGTTGAAAAGTTATTTCATTTAAATTCAAAAACTAGTGGCGAAGCTCATTCCATAGTTTCCAGATCCCCACTCACCAATAAAGGCTTTCGCTCAGCTTGGACAAATCTCACTGAGCGTTTCGAAAATAAGCGATTGCACAGCCACCTTAAATCCTTTTTCAATGTGCAATCCATAGCACAAGAGTCTGGAGCAGCCTTAAAGGAACTTCAACACACCATTCAAGGTTGCTTAACGTCCTTACAAATTTCCGGCATTAACATTGAGAATTGGGACCCTATCCTCGTTTACATGTGCTCCACAAAGCTTCCAAAGCTCACGCTCTCATTATGGGAGGAATCATTCCAAAATAAAGCCGAAATTTCCACTTGGCTCGAGCTTAATTCCTTCTTAACTAACCGCCATCGAACTCTAGAGACCGTCGATAGCATCCGGCCTGCTAATTTACTTCAAGTCCAGTCCAAAGCCACAAATGCATTGGCAGAACTTCCAAAAATAAATTCATTTTCCACGAGGGTACTTCACTCAAAAAAAAACGGTGTGCTAAATTCAAATTTTTTATTCTTGAATTTAATTTATTTCGAGATCAAAAATTTCAATCCCGTTTTGGATAAAAAAGGCTTAAGTTTGTATTTTTGGGATTACTTTAAGCCCGAGAAATTTATGTTATCCTAAAAAAGATTGTATTAATACTTTTTTATCCGAATCTGGAATACAAATTTGTACTTTAAGTCTGAAAAGATATATGTCATCCTAAAAAGATTAAATTATGACTTTTTTATCCGAACGGGATTAAATTCCGGGCTGTCATATAAAATTCGATCCGACTTGTTGGTTGAAAAAGATTTTTGTAAGATCCCAACAGGAATTCAAAACTGTTCACAAACCTGTTTTTTTTATAAACCAAATGATTTACAAAACACTACTACCACGTTTAATGTTTTTAGTCTAAAGGAGTAACGTTGTTTTTTTCCAACAGATGGCACTGCATCGTACAGTAATAAAAAGGTAGCGCCATCTAAATGTGAAAATGTGTAAATTGGAAAACCTTAGCCAAAACTTTAATTTTCCGATAATTAAAGACCCCCAACTCATACCAACACTAATCGAACCAAACTGATAACTTCTCGTGTAGACTGCTTTCACTTATACGTCAATAATTCAAAACGTTTAATAAATCAGTGCTATTTGAATTCAGTGTGTCCGAGAGTCAGTTCACTGTGTGGAAAGTGATCCGTTAATAGTGAGGCCAAGCTAAGTTTTGATGAACTGGAAGACGAAGACGATACAACAATAATAGCTTTTTTAGCAGAAGAAGCATTACAGTGTTTATGAGGTAAAGTATACACATTTTCATGGGCAAAGCTGTTCAACATGTAAAGGCGTTGTTTTGTAAAATTAAAACCATTTTTTGACTCTAATTTTTTATTTTCGTTTATAAATAGATTGTCAAGATTTAATTTTGAAAATGCTGACTAACCTGCGCAAATCCAAGTTAAGCCTCACTCTTGTGAAAAAATAATGGAATGAAAAATAATTGACCAACAAATTTGTTTTAAGAACAACTCACCACCCCACATCCAAATCCTGGATCCGCCACTGCTGCTTACCATTCTCAGCCCAATTCAAATCGAGTAACAGTGGAAAGAGGAGTGAGAAAGTGACCCTTGCTGGCGCGGAGGAAAGATTATTTCTTCAGCTGACAACAATATTCAACTATCAAGACCGTATAGAGGAGATTATATCCAAAAACAACTCCTTTTCTGATAGTCAAGGGCAAATAACACCTTCCTTACGGTTAAATCCACAAAATGATATGTAGTTTAGAATCAAGTATATTTAATATTAAAATAAAAAAATTAAATAAAAACATAATTTTGTATCGGTTTTTGAGTTTTTGGGGATTTATTGGAATTTATATAATCTCGGCCGAGCTCAATTCAAGTACGTTTGGGATACAAATTATCCCGTTTTTCGGGATTGAAACTATCCCGTACGGGATTAAATTTAGTATGGGATAGAATCGAGCTCGATTTTCGGGGTTGAATTAATCCCGGCCTACTCAATAACGATAAATTCAATATATTTTGGCTTGCAAAACTACGGGATTACTTCAATCTTTTTTGGATCAAGTTTAGCATATTCGGGCTTACCCTGTTTTCAATCCCGTTTCGCATTGATTCAATCCCGTTTGACTTGAATTTTTTTTCAGTGTTCCAACACCCAAAGGCTGCGATCTGTGTTCAAAGGAAAAACACCCCATTCGTATATGTCCACGCTTTCTCCAAATGCGGTTAAATGATCGTTCAGCCTACATCCAAGATAAACAGCTATGCTCCAACTGCTTTGCAAGCAGCCATAAATTGCAGGATTGCACAAGCCCTACCACTTGTTTCACTTGCCAAAGTCGGCATTATACGCTGTTGCATCCAAGCAACAAT